GATAAAATATGTGAAAATATTAGTATTGAAAAACAAAAAAAAGGTTCGGCTGATTATTATTATTTAACAGAAAAAAGTATGCCTTTAAAAGGATATATTTTAGTATTATTCAGCTGGATAAAGGACACATTTTCACAGCGTGATTCAATTCGAAAAAGTAGAAACACTGTTGGAATAAAAACTATTGAAAAGTTTCAAGGATGTTGTCAATTATTATATCATTCCGATATATTTCGCTCAATAGTGTCATACGTATATTATATCAATAATTCAAATGTTCGCGGTTATGATCGTATTCTATATTATTTAGACAAGGTATCAGCACATATGCGCTCACTTGACTTAATACTGAAATGTTTAGAGCAACGAAAACTTGAATATGGCGAAACATATAAAAATATACAATGGTATTTTATTAAACCTATTGAAAATATCGTTGAATTAAACGAAACACCATCGTCATCATTTGACAAAATATGGTCAGCATGTGGTTTACCTGATGATCAAACAAAAGTTGATTTCAAATGTGAATATATTAAAGATAAATTTGATACATACGATTCGACTTTAAAACTATCAACGTGTTTACATTGTGAAATTAGAATAATAGATTATCTAATCGAAAACAATATACATGAAGTTAGAGATAATGATATAGAGATTGGAGTAGCAAAACTATCATGTTATCCTTGTTCATTATACATTGAAAAGTTAAATGCCAAATACGATCGAAATTTTTGTGTTGCTGTTTTAACAACTCGTGGAAAAATTTATGCTAAATGGGCATTTAGAAATAATGAAGATGAGATTATATAAAATCATGTTGGTGTCCAATTATGTACATTGATTGAAAAAGAACTAAAAGAATTGGAACGAACTCATCCGAAAAAAAGCGAGGACAGTGATAAACAAGAAACAATTGTAGACGATGATGATATAGATAATAAATACATGCATCGTGGGATCAACGCATATTACAAACATCAATGAATTTTAAGAGTTTCCATGATAAAATAGGAAAAGATTTCTTTTGTTACTGTTTATCTTATTCTTATATATTGCAAAATAAAAACGTACTGCTATATAATGTCTATACTTTTTTTATTCATACATAAAAAAGACCTTTCTAGTATCGCTCTGAAAAAGAAATTCTTCCATATATTAGAAACCGTGGTACTGAGGAAAAACACAAGTAAACTGGATAAATTGTTCTTGCAGTTGAATAGGGAACTAACAACAAGTATTGTTTCTTACGAGCCATTGTCTGAGAAAGTCAGACAGGTGCTTATACTGATGTCAACCAATTTGTTCAACCAGCTTTTACCGGAGCTTCACAATATGATAGTCTATTCGTCATAAAAGTTTCAGCTTCGTGCAAGGATTCGTGCCTTAGGATTTGGCAGATTTTCTAGTATCCACCTGTAGGCTTCAAAAGACCCGCACATTTGACCTCTGCACCCGGCACTTAAAAATTTGAAACATATTGGATCGAGACCAGTTTTTGACGCTGATTCCGAATATGTAATTAAAAGTTTTTCTAAATGTTTCGGAGTACCTTTTCGAAAAAACCGGGTTTTTCTGAAAACCTCTGAAAATCTACAATTAGGAAAACTAAGTTTCGTCTCGACAGAAAGATAGAGCATTCAAAACTATATATGCCAGGCCTGCGTTTAAGAAAAGCAGCAGTAAAAGAAGTTCTGTCTTCCATAAGCTTCGTGAGTTTATTCGTACAATATTATCGAAGAACGCATGAGTGAGCAGGCATGATCTAAGGCTTTAACTTGTTTGATAAATGACAAAAGAAGGCTCAGCAGACGGATCTACCCATGCAGATTCCCCTGAAATTTTATTGTAGCAACGCCGACAAAATATTACTATACTCAGTTTGTCGCCCGTGTAGGCCGTGTAGTTGTATGAATATATATAACTACATATTTGTTTCCTCTCGAATATGATGGTGGTCTACTTCTCAAAAGATCCCGCTAATACTCACGAGGTAACCTCCCGAGGTGATAAATCGCTTTTTGATCGACATCTAGTGGGTTATAGGTTATCGACCATGCTGATTCCGAATATGATCATGAGACTTCTCCATAGCTCTTCGAAAATCCAGTCTTTCGGAAAACCGGTTTCGGAAACCCCAAAAAATAATCCAAGCCTTTCTTAATAATGCAGAATTGTAGCCCGTAAATTTCTGATTAAAATGAAACATACCCCAGCTCTGCACGACATTTCTTTGCAAAGTTATAGAATTTGTAAGAAGAGCCCTAAATTAATTTCTTCTTATTTCTGTAGCTTTGAGCTGACAATGAACAATTTAGGGCTCTTCTTACAAATTCTATAACTTTGCAAAGAAAGGTCGTGTTGATGCTGGGGGATGTTTCATTTTAATCAGAAATTTACGGGCTACAATTCTGCATTATTAAGAAAGGCTTGGATTATTTTTTGGGGTTTCCGAAACCGATTTTTCGGAAGACTGAACTTTTGAAGAGCTATGGGGGAAGTCCCATGGTCATATTCAGAATCAGCATGGTCGATAACCTATAACCCACTAGATGTCGATCAAAAAGCGATTTATCACCTCGGGAGGTTCCCTCGTCAGTGGTTTCTCTTTGAAATAATGGTTTTGAAAAAAATCTAATTCTGGCTATTAGACACAGCTCCAAAAGCTATAAATGAATAATAGTTTATGACCTATTTACAGTTGAAATGAAGCTTGATTTATGCACTTTTGACGCAAGAATAAGATCTGTAGCTTATTTGGTTTTTGATCTATGTATACAAATGATTTGATACAAAAATAAAGGAAATAACAACAAAACTATATGAATTAAAATCTGGTACAGTGCCCGTTTGAAATCGTGTTTTTTCTACTCGTGGTGATGGTCGGCAATTCGAATTATAATATGTTCGCTGTCGAATCGACCCTTGCTGTTGATTGTATCGACACTCTTCTGTGGTATTTTGTTACACTAGTAATAGTGGTCCGTCGCTGGGGTAACGGTATTAATAGGTGTTCAGGTGGTTTTCCAAGTTTAAATGTTATTGCTTTAGGTGCGGTGTCAAACTGGTTGTTGTTTTCTTTTTGCTGCTGTGCATGCTCCGGTAGAATCCACTTTGGCGGCTTTTAATTGTATGATTTCGTCATGTTGAGCGCGCAATCAGTGCTAATCGTTTCATTGTTTGTTGTCAACAGAAAAGAAAGATGAGTTGTAGTTTATGAAATTATATAAGCTAGCTAGTATGAACGCATCTCGAATATTCTTTTTCAGCAGACTAGCGAAAAATTGGTAACGGAAAAACTGACACTGTTCATGAAAATGCAATGGTATATATAGAGGCTTTTGTATTCTCAATTTTTCGCAACAGAATGATCATTCAAAATAAAAATGAGTAACACCCTCTCGCGCACACTAGTTCCATGTGCCGTTGAGTAATAGCCTCTAAGACAACCGCCATTTTAATTACTTATATTATACTCCACTAGCAGACTTATGGATGGAATATAAGCGTGGCTCCGGTGATTGGGAACGACAATATTGGCCGGGTAATGACCATCTATCCATGTTAACAAATCAAGACTCGTATCGTCTACGGGTAGATTTAGAAGATTTTAATGGACAAAAAAGATTCTCAATAGGTAACTGTCAATAGACTGACAGAATAATGACAACAGTTCAACAAAGAACTTGTCTAGATTATCCACAGTAAAAAAGAAACAAAGAGTTAAGAAAAAATCTGAGACAAAGCTTTAATGCACGTTTAAAAGCTCGCGCGCTATAGGCTGTAATCACTTCTCTTGGTAATTGGTTCCACTCTTTTATAGTTTTTGGTAAGAATGAAGATCTAGTGGTTTTAACAAGGGAACCTTAGTAGAAGTTGTTTTACAGCGATGCCAATAAATTTATTTTCTTTCGACGTTTCGAGTTCACCAGAACTCGTTTTCAAGAATTGAAAACAAAATTGTTAAAAACCATTACTAAGTTAATAATACAGAAAAACTTACAGCACTTATTTATTGTTCCTATGGAATGTCTATTGCGGTTTTTGTGTTAAAAAGTTTTTCGATTCTTTTTCCTATAATCTGTAAGATCAGGTATGTGAAGAAATAGAGATCAGCCCTGGTTCTCTGACAGATTAAGAAAATTGTTACGTAAGAAGAACAGGGCGTATCGAAAATACAACAAAAAGAAAACCGATTTTTCTTATGATATGTATCTATCAGCAGCAGAAGAGTTTCAGCTCTCTGCAAAAAAGGCAACAGAAGAATGTTTAGAGAAAATAAACAAAACAAAAGCGAATAAAAAAGATTGGCGGCAAACGTTGAATTTTTCGTTAGGTAGAAAAAAGCGTTCTGTTATTTCATCTTTGAAAGATAATCTAGGTAGATTAATAGAAGAGAATTGCGATAAGGCTGAATTATTGAACGAACATTTTGAATCTATCAATCACATATCTTCCACTGATGATGCTAACCCAACTCCATCAATCACTATATCGTCAAATGTCCCTCAGCTATCCGATTTAAAAGTTACACTAAATGGAGTGAAAAAAATATTGTTAAAAACAGATATAAACAAAGCTTGCTCCGTAACATCACGTCTATTGAGGAAATCTGCAATTATAATATCACCTTATATTATGAAGATAGTACAATAATCAATTGATACCGATATTTTTCCAAGTATTTTCAAACAGGATATGTAAATGCGTTATTTAAAGATGGTGAATTAACTTCTCCTTCAAACTATTGTCCTATTACTCTACTTCCAGCGTTAAGTAAAGTTTTTGAACGAATCATGCATTTCCATTTATACAGTCACTCGAAGAAAAATAATCTTCTGTCACCTTTACAATCCGATTTTATTCGTCATGATTCTACGGTCAATCAGTTAGTTGATCTAGTTCAATCAATTCATCTAGAGACTGAACAATCAAAGATAACAAGAGCTGTGTTCTCATATTTTTCTAAGGCTTTTGATCGAGTATGGATAAAAGATTTGCTAAAGAAATTAGAAGGTAAAGGAGTCTCAGGCACTATGTTAAAATGGCTCAAAAGTTATCTGAGTGACAGAAAAATTATTACAGTGGTAAACGGAAAGATACCGAAGGCAAGAAGTATAAATCGAGGCGTACTGCAGGGTAGTGTACTCGGACCGTTACTGTATTTGATCTTCATAGATGATATAAATAAGGATATTGTATCTACAGTAAGACTGTTTGCAGATGACACTCTTTTACACTATTCATCAAAAGATCTTTATACTACCACTAAAGTGTTAAATGATGATTTAAAAAACAATTAGTAAGCGGTCTCAGAACTGGCAGCTGCCTTTAAATGAAAAGAAATGTAAAACAGTGATATTCACAAAAAAACCAAAACATGCTCTGCCAGATATAAAACTAAATAGTGTTATTTTAAATGAAGTAAACGAACATAAACATTTAGGGGTTATTCTAACATCCACTTTAGATTGGAGTGCACATTACGAATACGTGATTAAGAAATGCAATAAAATACTATTTTTGATGAAGAAATTTAAAAGAATATTTAGTACATCAACACACTATCAAATATATCAGTCTCTTCTTTCACCGGTGATTTTATACGGATGTGAAGTGTATTTCGGAACGATAAAAGAAAATTTAGCTAAATTAGAACGTATGCAGTATGAGGCAACAAAGATTGTAAGTGAAGCATTACAGTTTACTAGTAAAGATAAATTAATTAAAGTATTAGGCTGGCAATCATATGTAGAAATAGCAAAAAGTCGTAGAATTCAATTAATTCAGAAAATTGTAGTTGGACAGGCTCC